ACTAACTGTACACTCAACCTGGTAAACCCTGATGTCATGCGCAGAGCGAAGGATGACCTGACAGGGGTAGTGACCAGGCCCTTTCGGCTCAAAAGTGATGGGAATCTTTGCTGTGTCTTTCRTGTTCTTTCTGTGCCTGGCTGATGATGCTGTTAGTCATAATAAAAAGAAGCATTTGCATTAGCGGGATAAAGAGTAATTTTATTAGTGACTGTAAAAAAGCTTCTGCTCTGAACCAATAAAAACGCAAGAAAATACAGTGTTTGAATACAAGAGGTAKTAACATAAAGAACAAAAATATAGGCACGCTTTAGCCTACTGCACCTGGTGCAGTTTTCGTATGACTGTGAAAAGTTCACGGCACGAACACGGTCGTGACACAGCAAGAGATACGCCAGACCAATCACATTGCACGAGAATTTACTCTCCATCCAATCAAATACCCGGAACACGGCATAAACACGGCGCGGACACGGTCACGCCAAKATCACGGCACTTTTAGACCAATCACATTGCGCGTGAAAAAAATCAGCCAATTARAATTCTAGAAAGTATCACGGTCACGGCACGTCACGCTTACGGCACTGAGCTTTTCACAGACATACGAAAACTGCTCTATACCTTAGCAGTGCACTGTACATTGGAAATTGAAAAACTACTATTATAATCACGTGACCTGTTAAAGCAAGTCCCCTATCTTACCTGAGGATTGTTCGTTGCATGCAGGAATAGTGACATATTTCGGGACTTTGTAATATTTAGAGCTCGTCTCCGCATTAAACTTGGTCTGCGCAAGCTCCAGGGAATTCTTTAGAACAGGGTCGCTGGCATGTATGAACTTTTCGTTCCCAAGCCCAATGGCTGCGATCTTGGCCGTAACTGTACTGCTGGATAACGTCCCTGTTAGTTGACGCCGATTGAGTTCTCGTTGAGACATGCGCTGTTGGGCTGCTATGGCTAAAAGAAAACAACAAATAAATTAATACATTGAGTAAAATTTTGTTTAACAATTAGTTGTTTTTTTTCGTTCGTCGAAACAAACGATAATAATGGGCATAATGCTTTCTCATTTCAGACCATGTATCACTCTTCTGAAAATAATATTCTTTGTTTGAGCACAGGGAACCCGGCTATATTTGTTTTCTTCTTTTAGAAAAGTAATTTGCTCTTTGTGGGTTTCCTGTGTTGTGATCGGTTTCCTATTACATCAGTTGTAATCAGATCTGCGCTGTAATCAGATCGGCGCTGTAAACTGATAGCCAATTAAATTCAAATCAATAACCGTTGGTAACGCACTCTCTAGTAAACTGCTTACTAGAAAGTGCGTTACACACCACAGGCAACCCATAGTAAGAAACAAATCACCAACTGTGATCACAGCGCGCAGATCTGATTACAGCTTATGTAATAGGAAACCGATCCCAACACAGGAAACCCACAAAGAGCAAAGTTACTTTTCTAAAAGAAGCAAAAACATATAGCCGGGTTCCCTGTGGTTTGAGTTGTATCTTCAGTGTCTTCTCATGCATGACCGTTGAACAAAGAAATAATACTATAGGGAATGACAAGTGGTTTTAAATGGGAAAACATTGCACCCAAGCTAAATGGGTCGAGCCGAACCTAATTGAATCAATGGATAATAAAGCGGTCTTCTTTGATGTTATTAGGTTCGGCTCATGTGAAGTTCGACGTTTGACATGAGCCTTAGTACCCGTGTAAGTTTGTTTCCCACTCATATCTATGACTTACCTAAAGCATTCTCTCTCGCTACATTATACAACGGTACATGAAGCTCTTCAGTAAACTTCTCACTGTTCTCACTCTTCCAGTAGACCACTCTATCATCCCCACCAAACACTCCCCTACTGCTTCTCGCCGCAGCAGCGCTACTGATCCTAAGACTGTGAGGTGACTCCACCACGGGGAGGGGGGAGGGGAGAGGAAGAAGGGCGTTGGCTTCGATGGAGTACAGGAAYTCGCCGACTTTGTCGTTGATGAAGAGGATTGARCACTGACGGTGACCAGTAGTGAAGGGTAGAAAATGGACCTCKACTAGTGCTGTGTCGTTGGCATTGAGATGGACGGTGGGGTTGGCGCACCAGAATGCACTGAGCTGAGGTGTGGGTGAGGCTAGGAATAAACATAWTGGCCTGACAGTTAGAAATATATGGTTTACTATCGTCAGGTGATTGGGGTTGGGATGATAACAGAAGTTTTGCAAACCTGAGACTTTTTTTTTCCCCTAGGGGTCGTGTGGGTGGGTGGGAAAGCATTTCTTTCCATCGTAAGTCAGAATGAACTGAAGTTTAGATAGATTGGTTTTCACATAAGGGATAAAGCCCCTAACCCTTGAATATTATTCCCTAAGGGTCGTGGAAACTCTGTGGTCGGGTGGTTTGCTGTAAGTGAATGGGTCAGAAATGCTAAAAAATAGCATTTCTTTCCTTCGTAAGTCAGAATAAAATGAAGATCAAATAGATTAGCTTTCACACAAGGGACCAAGCCTACCCATTACTTATTATTCTCTCAAGGGGTAAAAAACTCTTAAAGACATTTCCAATGTACTTACATTTAGGAGATTCTGGTCTCTCTTGTTCAATACGCGGTAACATTTCCTTGGCTGGTGACCTGGGGTTACTCGTTTGCCTGAAGAAAGAAAAAAAAATTCAAAGACTGCTGGAGAATGTACCGAAGGGGGTAACCACTTGATAATAGTATTCTTTGAGTTGCAGTTATATCAATTACGAATACTAAATGGAACAGTGAACCGCGCAAAGAATTGGGAGAACATTTATCCCAAATGTAATAAACCCTTTTCNGAGTTGCAGTTATATCAATTACGAATACTAAATGGAACAGTGAACCGCGCAAAGAATTGGGAGAACATTTATCCCAAATGTAATAAACCCTTTTCAATTTCAGGCCACACGTTATTTTTTAAATGATTATTTCTATAAATTTTGAATAGTACTTTAGAGGGTTCAGTACGTAATAGACCTTATTCGTGGCGTGACAATGTTTTCCCAATTCAGCGTGACAAACCTCTGGGGGAATGAAGAGGTATTGTTTTGAAACTCGTCGGGATATCATCGTTATTCCTTTCGTATCCTTTGGGATAGTCATGAATTTTTCGAAGAATAAAAACAAAAGAAAATGAATCCCCTGGAGGTTCGTCACGCTGAATTGGGAAAACATTGTCACACCACGAATAAGGTCTATTGGGGTGCTTTTCAACCAATAGACAGTTTTTCCAAGATTGCGTGCACATCCAAATTTAAGGAACTTGACGGGCCACGATACCAGAACACGAGTATCATGCATTGCTATGAAAAATTTTTCGATAAGAATTCATAAAATGTGTATGTGAAAAATGTGTACTGTGGTTGTAATGTATCAAATTGAGCTGATCCTCGCAGTATGTGAAGCAATGTATGCAGCTGTAAATTGAAAAAATTCAGAAAATATAAAACTGTCTTCTCAATTTTACTGAATTTGGGTTTTTCAGTTTTGTGGCCCGTCAAGTTGGATGTGCACGTAACCTTGAGAAAACGGTCTATTGCTAGGGTTAATTTCWATCAGCTGATAATAGTCTCTGAATCTCATTATCTGCTCTAAATGGTGGTCAAACACTGGGTCCTATTGTACGAAGCCTGGATAGCGCTATCCGGCGGATAAATCCTTATTCAGTGGATAAGTCGATGCTGTTATCCAATAAATTTATCCACTGGATAAGATTTATCCGTCGGATAGCGCTATYCAGGCTTCGTACAACCGGGCCCAAASCAYCATGACATGCTGTCAGTCAGGAAAAAAATATATTTAAAAATTTGTGATTTAGCTGATAAACGTAGCGCATTAGACAGGGAATGAACTCATTAAGTGAAATCGAAAATTGCCTTTGGGGGGGAGGGGTTGGGGGTTGAACATTATGAGCATTTTACTGAGGCTGAAAGGTCAAATGTTCTAACTCACCCATGATCTGTACGCGATGGCACGTTTTTCTTGGGCATGCTAGGCTTGCTCYTCGGCGACGTAGTACTGGTAGTACCAGGAAAAGAGAGCTTAGCTTCGACCAGGACAATCCTAAAGTCACCAGGTGATGAGAACGGGTTGGTTACGTCAAACTGGACCTTCTGAAGCTCGTAAGTTGGTGATTCACATCTTATTGTAGCCTGTTGAAAATAATATATAGCCTGGATAGTACTCACGCTCTGATTGGTCGAGAACTRTATCAGCGATATATGCTGACGCCAACCGCGCGCGCGCAGCCAGCTTTGCAAAGRAGTGTAAGAGAACAGCATTGAAAACTCCCGATTTTTTCTTATTATATAAGAACAAAATGGCATTTTTTCGGTGCACCGTTAAGTCACACAGTACAGTTCTCTTTCTTACAATAACTAAACGATAAAAATTTCTCATTTTTAGCGATCAAAACAACCAACGGAAAGAGCGCGCGCTCGTTGACGTCAGCTTTATCTGTCGGTCCTCTTATTGATGATAAAAAATAACCAATCAGCGCGCGCGCGAAATTTGTAAGTTATTGTAAAAACTAAAGTCGTTTTSTATAATCGTTGACGCTCTCTTACCACTGGTGTTATATTGTTGATACAGGTATCTAGATTGAATACCAGCGTGTTGCCGCACGGTGAACCAACACGCTTTCCCACCAGGACCAAAGTAGCGCTACCAGGCCTGAGAAAACGGCTCTTGAATTCAACGGGTAATTGAAGTTGACCTTTGGCTGGGACCTAATGGGAAAAATGAAAAAAGAAGAATTGTAAATCAAAAGGTTTTTAAACAAWTTTTGTCTTCACTTACCGCCTGTTTTGTCTGTCTGCCCATATGTTCCTATCTATACTGATCTATTAGGATTTTCTCAAACACAGTTTGGTTATAACTTTCTGGTTCTGGTCACTAATGTCTTTTCGTCTCTCTATTAGAGAGAAAACGAAACTTTTCCGCATCTTTTAATTTGTTTGTCTGCCTGTCTGTCTGTCTTTCTTATTTTGTCTGTATGTCCACCTTTCTACATCTTTTTTCTGTCTGTCTGTCTGTCTTTTTTATTTTGTCTGTCTGTCCACCTTTCTACATCTTTTATTTGTCTGCCTGCCGTCTGAATGTCTGTCTTTTTTAAATTTATTTTCATTTTTGCGGCCGTACCAATCAGTTTGCGCAGTCCTTCCGCTAGTATGATTACGAGGATAAAATAAATAGGGATAAATTATTATTAATAACGATAAATCGTTATTRTTTATTACCTGTACTGAGTCGCCCATCGGCACCTTGAAGTCAGCAGCGTCACGCCCTGCCAGGATAACCTGGTAAGACAAGGGTTTGTTGCTGGGGTTTTGAAGACGAATCTAAGAACAAGGGCGGAAACAGTAGCAAGTGGTTATCTACTACTATTAGTATATGTAATGGGACTCCATGCTCCCCAATCAAGAAATAATTAGACTCGAAAAATTCCTCTGACTGCCAAATTGGACTCGGCCTACGGCCTCATCCAATTTTGTCAGTCCTCGGAATTTTCCTTSTCCAATTATTTCTTAATTGGACAGCATGGAGTCCCATTACATATACTAATAGTAGTACAGTGGTGCCTCTATAAAGCAAACACCTTTGGGACCTTGCCTTGTGCCCACTTGATAAAGGGTGTCCACTAAAGAAAATTTCAAAGCCCAGCAACTAGTTGTCCGTTTAATGAGGTGTGTTCGCTTAATAATAGGTAGCACTGTAGATAGCATCGTTACGGCAGTCGGGTCACCACGGCAACGTAGTAATCATATCAAATACAGTTGTTACCATGGTGATACAACACATATGACTTACGTGTTTGACCACAGTGGCATGAAGAGGCCCTTGGAATTCCACCGTGGTTCTTGGGAGATACTGTGGCAGCCGTTGATAAAGATGAAGACAAAGCAACATAATGCTAATGGGGTTTGGCTCTGTGATGTCTGCAGGCTGTTAGAAAAATAAAAATGTCTTAATAAATATGTATGCCGTAGTGTTTAAAACCCACACGAAACCTGCTGGAAGTTTTAAGGCTGCATTCATTATGTATGCTAGGAGGGGGTAGGGGATTTTTACAATACAATCTAAAATCCCCCCACCCCCCCTCCCCAAAAACACTGACCAACATTGGTTGTTAATAGGTGTTGTCAACCAGAAAAAATTCTATCGCAACTTGATATTCAGTTAATGAACATTTAGCACGTGACAAGAAATGACCTCAAGAAAGCCAAGCAATTTAGTCGGTATTCAGATGCTTGAAGCATCGTGGTACGATGCCATACCTGTACATCATAGTCCATTCCAATGTGCCTGAGAGCCTGAACGACTTTCTGCACATTATGCAAACAGTGCTGAGACGTGATTGGACGCATGTAGAGAGAGTAAAGATGAGTAGACACCTGAAGAGAAAGATATTATAATGAATTTGTGTAAACACKTGTGAAAAATAAAATTCCCAGGTGGAGGGGTAGTCACGGAAGAGAGCGTTGCGTGACGACACTAAGTAGGAGAGAAGGAGACTAGGTGGGTTACAYATTATACTAGAAAATATCAACTTACAAGAAAAGGAACAAATGCTGAAAGCAGAGCTGCTAGAACAAGACCATCCATGAAATCAAGATCGAAGTTGACGATCCACCGACACGAAGGGTTTGACCCTGTAGGAAAAGGTAAATGTAAATAAACAAAARCAACATTGTTCTGCGCACAAGCTTCTACAAAAGATCATTCTACATTTTTGATAGTACTTGTGCTCTGATTGGTCGAGAACTGTGCTGTATAGRTTGCTATCAATAGACGTCACTTCCGGTAATAGCTCTTTTTTGATGGCTTGTAGAATCCTGGAGGTTGTTTTGATCTCTTGTTTTCTGGTTTGATGTCGTGAAAATAGTCAAATACAATAGTTTGAGGACTTATTTTGATATGTTTTGACTTAGCATCCGCTAGTTGCTCCCCAGTCAACCGCTTGTTTGCCCCCCAGCCAACTCAAAAAAGTCACGTGATTGATAGTAAGCAATCAGATAAAGGAGAACAGTTACCGGCGCCAACCAAACGCGCAGCCAACTTTGCAAAGAAGTGTAAAAGAAAACAGCACTTCGCGCGACAACCAATCAGGACCCGAGTTTTATAACCTTTATTTAAATAATTGTTAATGAACTGCGTCTTCCTACCATCCATGCTTCCATGCCACTGTTTCTGTCTCTGCATGTCATAGTGGTGGTTAATCCACGATAATAGTACTCTCTCTCCGACACTGTAAACATTGCTGACAACAGGGTCGGGGTTGAATACCGGGGACGGTTTATCCCTGAACGGAGACTGCAGCTTCTTATACTGCTGAGGCGTCACACGACTTAGTATCAAAACCTGAGGGGAAAAGATTGCTTTGATCAAAATGTAATACTAATGTGCGTGAAGGGTCCCCCCCTGCAATATTGTATTTCGCTACTTCTACATGATCAAAAGCATACTATTAGTCTTACAGGGGCGGATCCAGGGGTGGTAAAAGGGATGAATTGTAACCCCCTTTTGCTCAAATTTCTCTGTATATCGTTAGTAACAGTCACCTCTCTTTATCTCGAACTCCTGAAAAAAAACTTTCAAATATTCACACCCCCCTTCTAAAATTCCTGGATTGGCCCCTGTCTTAATTAACTTGATTGTACTAGGGTAAATGACTTTGAATTAGTCCAAAAACTATTTCAGGTATCTTAACAACTAATTTCTATTTATTTATATTTTCTTCGTGTTTTGATTTTTTTTCTTTCTTTTTTCTTCTTCTTTTTTTTTCCATGTAAATAAAAGGTGTCAAAAAAATAATAAAAAATAACAATTAAAAAATAATGAAAAATAACAATCTGAATCTTGGGTTGAGTCGACACCATGAAGTCTGCCAACACCCCAACCTATTCTAATACACGTACGTTTATTTCATATCCTCTAATTATATACCTTGATTATTTGTGCTAGGACGTCGGTCCAAGATTTCGTAGATACAGAACCAAATCTATCCAAGTCTCTTCTATCTTCCTTCAATTGTTTTTGCTTCATCTCATCGTCAAGTATCTCATTAGGGTCCGTTTTCTTCTGAAGTTTTCGCCATATCCGGTAATCCCCCGGTGCCAACAGATACTCCGGCTTCACCCCTGATAACATTGCCCCCTGCGTGCGGAGGAAAGTAAGAAATGTCGAGTACATCCAGTGGATCTGGCGCACCCTCTCCGTGGGGTTTGTTGGGAGAGCTGATGTCAGGGGTATCCCTGGTACGGAGCGCCCACAGAGATGAGCGACCAGATCGAACACGGATCTCATTYCTTTCTTGCTGTTATTGTCCCAGTTGGTGGTTCTGGTTGCAGCTGTAGTGCCAGAGGGGACTTCGCTGAGGTCTTGTAAGGCCATGCTTAGGGACTGGGGTATGGTGATGGGGTAGGGACCGCTTGACCAGCCTTGGACTGTAAACCATCTGTAAAAGATAAACAAAGATCATCCTGGTGGATGTAATCCTGAGAAGGACTGTTTGATGGGACTGACGTTTCGACARCCTGAGTGGAAGCCATCTTCAAAGATTTAATCCAATGTCAATGTTTACGCTACTGGGGTAAAAAGACCTCTGGTACTCAGGGTAGATAGATTTGTTCAGCTGCCTTCAAGGCCATGCTCAAGACTGGGCACATTAATAGGGTAAAGGTGCGGTAATACGCGTATCACAATCGTGCAACTTATTGCGCTGCAAGTTGCAGAAGAAATGTTTTTCSTTTTACCACTCCGCGCGCAACGAATTTTCTTTGTTTCACAAAGTATAGGTAATTTCTACTTCGTGCAGCGATGACAATTTGTTGCACGGGCATTTTATCATAGTACATCAGTTTCYAACTGTTTAAAAAAGGTTTTTAGTGTTAACCCAAAACGAAAATTGGGGTCCAAACTCATACGAAGGTCTATTATTGCTCATTATTGAAAAAACATTTCCTCTTAAGCATTACGCCATCATCACGATACGCAATCACARCGCGCAAGATCACTGTTTAGCCAATGAAATAGCTCGGACAAAGTACCGGCACGGCAACGGCACGGCGTCTATACCGAGAATTTTCATAATCATGCGAAATTTATTTTTTGTTAAGACCCAATGAAATGGTAATACGGACCTCATCTGACGAGGGGTTATGGTATGATCAAGTTTAACGTACCTTTGGATAGCCAGAACCACTGAAGACAAGAACTTCTTTTCCGTGTCATTGGTGTTTGAAAACACACTAAGCGTCGCCTGATCGTCTGACAACACAGTCGTATCCCTAACGGCTTCATCCTGTTCCACGTGGTGAGGCGTGGACGGGAACGTAGAAGATGTGGCACTATTAGTCGACTCTTGGTAACTCGACGAACTGATCCCGAACGTAGTGCTCGTCTCAGTCGTCGATGCCTGCGTATTCGGTCGGTTTGGCGTTAAGCAAGGTTTCATGATGGCTTCGCCGGAGATTGGTTTGGCGCCATCGGTTGAATTTTCTTGGATGCTTCCGTGTTGTTCTTGGCCGCAAACGATTTGGTAGTCCTCTCGGTGAGCTGCGAGGAAGTGGTATGACGTCAAGAGGCARTTATCTGCTGTAGCTGTTACTGGTAGCTCGTACCTGAAACAAAGAGAGTTGGACTTTAAGTACACTGTAAAAACCGATTGGTTAAAACAACCAAATTAAWACGGTTTTCTCAGAGTCAGCTAGGCTAGTCTGAGTCTGAGGCCCCGTCCACACGTTTCCGGAAATATATTTTTTTGCGGATACGGGTTGCGTCCACATGTGTCCGGAAATKTTTGTATCCGTATCCGGAAATTTTCGAAAACTGTCTCCAAAAGTCACAAGTTTTCGAATACGATGACGTAAACACGATTTTGCGCATGCTCAATAAGAAAAATTATCCGTCAAAGGGACTAGGCACTAGCGTGCATCAGGGCGGATCATGAAAGTTCCGGATACGTGTGGACAGTGAAAACGATTCGAAAACGATTCGAATTCGCTGCGTGTGGACGCGAACATTTTTGTATCCGCAAAAAAAAATTTGCGGATACAAAAATTTCGGGATACGTGTGGACGGGGCCTGAGAGAACCAGTTTTATTTTGGTCGTTTTATTCACTCAGTTTTTTCAGTGTCCTAATAGTTAGAGCCGAATTTTATGACACTTTTAAACGATTACAGACAACATGCATATCAGCTGCAACGTTTTCTTATTGGTGGGTTGCATAAATGGRCCTGCTAAAAGCTGGTGTGCGCATGCGCTGCGTATGCAACACTCTTGATTGAGAACCAAGAAATTTTATTCGCTACGGCTGGAAAATGTTTTCCCATTTCATAACACAAGTCATTCCCTTGAGTATCATTCTTTGTTTGACACTTACACAGGAGAAGACACATGAATATGGATACAACTCATGCAAGTAAT